TTTTAGTGATGTGAAAAGAGAGAAGTAAATCAGAGATTAGAGAGTTCGGTGAGGAGGATGAATGCATGAAAAGGTTAGGGGTTCATACTGCGCAGTGCTGTAGAGCAAACAGAGATAAAAGGTGGGTTCTATGCTCAGATGACCTGGAAATGGAAAACTCTGGAGATGCACACGGCGAGAAGCTTCAGGTTGAAACCAACCGACTGCAGGTGCTCTGTTCCACAGAATGGTTTGGTTTCCCACTGATTGCATTTTGAGATATTTTTCATTATACACTACATACCGACCGAGAAATACATTCTGCCGTTCTCATCACCATAATTAATCCAGCTATAGTTTTACTTCTGAGCTTTGTCATATTCTTATGATTGTCATTAGATTCTCATTACTGTACTACATTAATTATGTCCAGGTTGAATTTAAAATAATCAATTTATGAATTAACATTAGAATAGAAAATTAACAGCACAAAAAGCTACTACAATGTATAAATACTTTACTATTGAAATAATAGAATTTTCTTTCACATTAAAGTGTATTATGGTAATGAACAATATATCAAACAAACAACAAATATACAAACAAGTAGGTCAACATTTTTTTTTCCTTCATTTTTTTTGCATAACGGTAATGAGAATTGTGTAGGAATTTGCCAAAAAAAAAAAAATCCCATTTCTGATATATTTGTTTTCATTTATTTTTTAAATTGTTTACATTTATTTTGACATAATTTCTTGTCTCTTTTGATTTTAGGGTGAAATTGGTTGACCCGGACCCCTATTTTTATACAAATTTTTATTAGTATAAAATTTTTATACTAACGTATTTTAGGGTTATTAAGATTTTGTAACATCATTGAGACATGATTTTTTTTTTTATTAAACCTTCACCTTTGGGGTCATTTGGAGTATGGGAAAGAAAATTGTGCTTAAATTACAAAAAATAATGTCACAAAATTAATTAATAATAAAAAAATAGGCCAAATGAGTAATTATAAAATCATTTTGTAAAATGTATAGAATGTTTTTTCTTTTGATTTAAATGCTTATTTTTATGCTAATTTCAGTTTTGCATATCCAACATGCATCTTGACAAATGTTTGAAAGGTGCTTAATTTTTTTTTTTTTTGTGTGGAAAACCATCTAAACTCCCCCAAACAAGTGCTTTTTGAACCATTGAAAAAGTGGTTCATCAATGCATACAGAAAACACACGAAAATAATACTTAAGCTCTGTTAAACCAAATAAATACACGCTGTCATGAATAATTTGCATATACCAATTTAATGATAATTGCATGGTAATTTCATTGTATGCTTCAAATTGAGTAGTATAATATTATGCCAAGGAAATGTTACAATAGCAAAACAATAGTCTTTATTCAGACTTTCTACATAGATAAATATTGTATACGCTCACACAAATGTATGAATGATTAGCAGAAATGTGTGAAACATATGCTAATTTTACTTCTACATCTGGCATTAATTACAGACAGAGGGCGGAGGATGGCTGGAAGGAGGATTCAACAGAGTCTCTTAGATAATGAATCCTACCAAGCATGGAAACAAGATATTATACTAAACCATCGTGGATTTTTTGTGTAAATCTGTCACATTTCACAGCCACTCTCTGAATTGCCCTCGCCGTTTTCCTGTTTGCTATGTTACGACTGCTTTGATGACAATTCCAGTGTCCATCAAAGTGATATCTCAATCAAGAAATTTACATATCTTTTTGTCTTAGATTGCCTGGACGTCTTTCCGAACAACAATGCTTCTTTCCTTCAAGATTTTTTTCCTTTTGTCTGTTTTAACCCTCCTTTCTACATGACCCACTGCATGCTCTCCATGTCAGGCCCAGCTGTTACTACAAACTACTGGGAGATCTTAGATCTTACTTAATTTCGCTCTTGAAATCCCACTATTCACCGTGAACCACAATCTGACCTATAGCAGTAGGCTCATTTGACTTTGCTTGAAAAACTGGTTAAACTATATGACATATAGCCTATATATGTAAATAAATTTATGCATGATCAAACATTATAGTTATTATACGCGGCGCTCTCTCTACGCTAGTAAAGGTATGTGTAACCCAGCTGTATTCCTTTGGCTTACAGCTCCATTGTCCACCATATAGGACCCTTGGGGCTAATTATTACAATTTACTGTGCCTTTTGTTATTCAAGAGAGATCCATGATATTATTTCCTAATTTTGCTTACTCCCTGCTGTGGAGATCTTAAACAGTTCAGTTTTCTGCTTTGATTTTGCTAATTTGTCCTCTTTTTCACTCAATAAAATGTGTAGTTTCTTCAGAAAAAAACATAAAACTGTCCATTTAATTATTGTTATTATTATTATTGAGCTTTTTTAAACCACACCCTTCTCAGCTGTTCAGTCTCTCTAACAATTAACTAAATAATTGGTTTTATGTATCCACTATTGGAATTTAAGCCCCTTCATGACATTTTCCATGATATTCACCAATATTTAGACTCCTCTCCTTACTTTGGTTGACCTCATTTCCTCATTTTATTTTCTTTCTGGTTGTTAATTTCTGTAGGATTGGTGTGGTATGAAATCTACAATTGAGTGGAGCTTTGACTTCTACCTCTTCATCTGTTGTTTCCTGCCATCATCTGTCTCTCTTCCTCTGGCCATGCTGCATCCCCCCACTACACGCTCTGTTATGATCCCTGGATTCTGTGATCCCATGCTCCTCTCCCCCCTCTCACTAGACCAGCTCTATGAATCAGCCACAGGGAGAGACGGAAACGATTCTGTGGTTGTGGTGAGATTTATGACTGGAAGTACATGCTCAGTAGGGAAAAATATTTGGTGTAATTATCAATGTAGACTTCACTTTTGCCTTGGTTCTGCATACCAGCTTAGTACTTTAAACATAGCCTACATTTAAAAAATAAGTGCTTTCTTGTGAAATTACATTTTGCATGGGGTGGTTGTAGTGTAATGGTTAAAGGGGTCATATGATGCGATTTCAAGTTTTCCTTTCTCTTTGGAGTGTTACAAGC